CTTCATTTATAGAAAACCAATGCATTCTAATAGATATTTAGACTTTAATTCGTCTCATCCGTTAACTGTTAAGGCAGGCTTAGTAAAGTGTCTAACAAATCGAGCCATAGCACTAAGTAGCACAAAAAAAGACCTAAATGATGAAATAAAACAGATAGAAGAAGCGTTGGTGTTGAATAACTATCCTATAAAATTCATTAGGAAGATCACCAAAAACCAAAAGCAAAATAAAAATAATGGTGAAACTATTAATGATAACACAAATAAGAAAGAATATAAGTCATCCACTGTTATACCATATAAGGAAAGCACATCTGAGGCCCTACGTAGGATTCTTAATAAAGCAGGAATTAGGGTGGCATTCAAACCTACAAACTCACTCAGAGACAAGCTCTGTAGGCTAAAAGACCCGGTGGATCCAATTAAACAAAATAATATAATTTACAAAATACCCTGCAATAACTGTGAGGTCAACTACATAGGTCAAACTAGTAGGTCAGGGATAGTCAGATTAACAGAACATAAGAATTTAGCTAAGGTAAGAATGGTTGACCCTGAAAAGATAAGTAATTTAGAAAAAAGCTCAGCTATTGCACTTCATGCAATAACAAACAACCACACAATAGGGTGGGATAGGGTTAAAATTCTAAAAAGTAATATAGCTAAGTGGAGAGAGAGGTTGATTACGGAATCCTTATTTATCGAGTCCACACCCAACACATGCAACAAAAATGACTCAATGCAAATACCAGAGATATGGAAGATATTATTACCGCAGGTCAAATCAGAAGAGGGTAATAAATAATATTAAAATTCTATTTCAATTCAAACACATCACAACATCCTAACAAAAAACTTATTATGACTATTAAAACACTCGTCGTATCTTCCATCTGATTATAGTAGATCAATAACACTCGTATTAATGCCATCAGTCAAACCAGAAGAAGATAATAAATAATCTTAAAATTCTATTTCAATTCAAACACATTCTAACAAGCAGCTTATTATGACTGTAAAAACACTCGTCCAATTTTCCCATCTAATTGCAATTGATCAACAACACTCGTACGATTATTTCTGAATGTACATTATCTCACATTGATTTTTAATCCAATATCTAATCCATTCCACACATGTATATAAATGAGAGATCAAAGTTGTGTGAGTAACTTGATATGATTATGAGCAATAGTTTGTGCTCGAAACGTCATCAGTTCATATAACTGTAAACACTGTGCGATTTATCAAAATAAAATCTTATCTATAATGGAATTATACTCTACCATAGTGCCCAAGTTTTATGCTTATATCATCTTCTTACTTCATTTATATACATGTGTGGAATTGATGATTAGACATTTGAATGAAAATCAATATGGGATAATTTACATTCAGAAACAATAATATGAGTGCTTTCAATCAAATACAATCAGATGGGAAATAAGACGAGTCTTTTTCATAGTCATAATAAGTAACTTGTTAGAATGTTATAATTAATGTATGTGAACTGAAATAGAATTTTAAGATTATTTATTATCCTCCTCTGATTTGACTGACTGACTGGTGGTAATAATATCTTCCATATTTCTGGTATGTGTTGGGTGTAGACTGGATGAACCAGTCAGGATTCACCTCCCAACCTCCCTTTATTACTTCTTAGAATTTTAACCTCCCACCATACTACTAAGTGGTTGTGTGTTAATGCATGCAGTAAAATCACAACAACAACAACAGACAACAATCAGCATAAGGGGAAAGAACCTGAAAGAAACAGCCTCCTTCACCTACCTGGGAAGCATCGTCTCAACTACAGACGGAACTGACGAGGATATCAAAGCCAGATTCGGAAAAGCAAGACAAGCTTTCATTACTCTCAAATCTGTGTGGAGGTCAACAGCACTCAGCATCAAAAATGAGATCCGGATTTTCAACTCCAATGTAAAGTCAGTGCTACTATACGAATCAGAGACTTGGCGAGTCGTAAAGAGCATCTCAAACAAACTTCAGACCTTCATTAACAGCTGTCTTCGCTCAGTACTCAAGACCAGATGGCCAGAAAAGATCAGCAACAGGGATCTCTGGTAATGAGCGAACCAACTAGGAACCGATTGTGAAACAAATAGGCATGAAGAAATGGAGATGGATAGACCATACTCTGAGGAAACCATCAAGTGACATCACTAGACAAGCCATCGCTCGAGTGGAACCCGAAAGGGAGGCGGCGAGTTGGTCGTCCAAGGGTGACATGGAGGAGGTCATGCGACGAGGAGATGAAAGCATGTGGACAGACCTGGAGCAGGGTGAAAAAGTTGTCAGAAAATCGAAGGCAATGGAGGTGCGCAGCTGAAGCCCTATGTTCCTCTAGGAACTAAAGGATACAATAATAATAATAATAAAATCGGTGAGTTTGTTTCCTAAATTTCCTATCTTCACGGGGTCGACCATTCTTACCTTAGCTGAATTCTCATGTTCCAACAATCTGACTACCTACAGCCTACTAGTTTGATCTACTTAGTTGACCTCGCTCATAATCATTGCAAAGTATTTTGCAAATTATTTTATTTTTTATTTGGGTCCAGCGGGTCCTTTAGTCTACAGAGCTTGTCTCTAAGTCAACTATATAGGTCAAACTAGTAGATCGGGGGAAATCAGATTGTCGGAATATAAGAATCGGGCTAAGGTAAGGATGGTTACAGGATTTCATCATGAGCTGACGTTGGTTAGAGAACCAGTGGAAAACCTGGGAGTACTGGACAGCTGTTTCTTCTGTCGTGGTTTGGGACTCTTCATCAGTACGCACCAACCACACCGGTTTGAATCCAGGACCTTCTGTTTACACGGCGATCTCGTATACCATTAAGCCATAGGGACCTGATCCAATGGCCCATGAATTCTAACTTCTACCAATTCATGACATAGCCAATGTCTTCGGTGAGTATTTGTCCTCACACTTGACCTGGTGTACCCTACTGGTCCCCAGTGAGTGCGTACTAATGAAGAGTCCTAAACTAGGACTAAACAGCTGTCCAGTACTCCCAGGTTTTCCACTGGTTCTCTAACCAATGTCAGCTCATGATGAAATCCTGTAACCAACCAAATACCTGCAAACCAACACTTAAAAAGGTAAGAATCGTCGAACCCACCCGAGAAGACAAGTAATTTAGAAAAAAGCTCAGCAATTGCACTACATGCATTAACACACATCCACACAATAGCATGCTGGGAGAGGGTAAAAATTCTAAGAAGTAATCTATGCAGGTGGAGAGAGGTTGATTACTGAATCCTGCCTGGTTCATCGAGTCTACACACCCAACACAACACATCCAACAGAAATGACTCGATGCGAATACCGGAGATATGCATGGAAGATATTATTACCACCAGTCAGTCAGTCAAATCAGAGGAGGATAATAAATAATCTCAAAATTCTATTTCAAGTCAAACACATCACATCATTCTAACAAGTTACTTATTTTGACTATAAAAGTACTCGTCTTATTTCCGATCTGATTGCATTTGATGAATAACACTCATATTATTATTTCTGAATGTACATTATCTCATACTGATTTTTATTCAAATATCTGGTCAATTCCACTCATGTATATAAATGAAGGAAAATAGTTGTGTGATTGAGTGACCTGATGTGATTATGAGTGGCAATAGTTTGTGCTGGAAACGTGGTCATCAATTAATATTACTGTATAACACTACACTGTGTGATTTTATCAAAATAAAATCTTATCTGTAATGGACCAAATAATCAGCTAACTGTTTTCATTTCGATCTCTGATAGAATGATGGATGCGCCAGTGGCACAGAGTTAGAATGATCGCCAATCACGCCTCATGTGGTTCGGGGTTCGATCCCCGGCCACCTACTCACTCTTTTACCTCATTAAGCTTGTAATAAGACTAGTAAGGAGGGAAGGTTGGGCTTGAGGTTAGCAACTCCATCCCGTAAATACAAATACCAAAGCTATCGAAACTTCAATCCACTAGCTTGAAGTAGCCCTATGTTTCACTGGGAACGTAAAGAAATACAATATAATAAACAATTCGTACTATAGGTGACTCTCGTAAGTCACTGGCCTAGTGGATAACTTTTGAATGTTTGGAAAGATGACTGTTGTTTTCTACTCTGAGTCAGAGAACTCCATCACTCAGTGAGAAGTCGCCAAACGGACTCGACACACGCTCTGGATTTCACTATTAGTCATCATCAACGAAATGTCATCTGATATATCTATATCTACCTGATACTTGTAATTTCGGTCGAAAGATTTACAGGTTATACGGTCAATACATCAGGGATTTTGTCTGTCAGAAGTTGCTATTAATTTGAGACTTGATTGTTGGAGATTGATCTCATTATTCACGATGGTTGTAAAGTTAAAATGGAAACTATAAAGCAGCAATTGAGAGTTTTGAAACCAAGAAGAGGCTTTTCTGAAAAAATATTTCTTTTGTCTGTGATACAACTGTTAATTATGCTTCTTAATTTTGCACACAACTATGCGATCGAACAGTGGGAATAAACTTCGGCCTAATTCAACTGTCTGTGTTGAGTATAACTGTGAGTACACCGGGCTGATGAGCTCAGCCTCACTCTGATCCGGCTGATTGACTGGCTGGCAATTACTACTGGTCGGTATGAATGGAATTCAACCAATCATATGAATCACTCAATCAATAATTTGTATATAACATCATGCAAGTATACTTGTTCTCTTGATTTCCATTTATTGCTTCGTCCAAGCTTGTGACTCTTCAGTAGTACACGCGAAAGAGTTTTATTTAAAGCGAATCTGTAGGAGAGAAAAACATCAAGACATCAATCCTTGAATTAACGTGTGTTTAATTTTTTTTTCAAGTTTTACATATTTGGTGAAATGTGTCCCACGCACACACACACACACACACAAAATTACATAACTTTTTTTGTTGTCTATTACTGAAATCTTCTGTTTTTGGTTGTTTTTCTTTTTCCCCTCTAAGGTGGACTATCACTTTCTGTGGAAGGACCATCGAAAGCAGATATTCAATGTGATGACAATAAAAATGGTACTTGTAATGTAAGTTATTTACCTCTAGTCCCGGGAGAATATACAATATCGATTAAATTTATGGAGAATCATATACCTGGTTCCCCGTTCACTGCACATATAGCAGGTAAGTAGTATAGCGCTTTATACCTATGACACTGCATAATGACCTGATTGTCTTTTACACTAGACTGTCGCCACTATTAATAGAAGTCGTAGTCGATTTCGTTGTGTTCCCTGAACTGGATGATTTAATAACACAGCTTTTATTGTCCTTCTGAATAACATCTTTAGCTCTATTTTTAATGTGAATCGGGCTTTGGAAATTCTCTGGAAATGAAATACTTGTCTCACCTGGTGGCTTCCCCAGTGATTGATTCAATTTCACTGATGATGATCCTTTCATTGACCTGATATTTGACTTTTCGGTCTTAAGGGTTATTTTTGTTATAGATTTATAAGTTTGGTCGGTATCTACATATCTGTTAACTTCAAATTGATTTAATGGAAAACCGCAGACATCATTTCAACTGGAGAAATCCAGAGAAAACACGAAGAGAGTCGGAAATTTCGTAGAGACATTCGTTTAGTTTTAGCACTCAACTATGGATAGCTCATTGGTAACGTCTCTGACTTCAGTACTAACTAATGTAGGTTCGAAATTCTGAGGGAAACTGAGTTCTTTGCGGATTATAGACTGGTCTTACTGACCAGCATCAGCAAGCACGAAAGCTAAGTTTAAGAATTCACATCTCATAAACTAGACTAGACCAGCAAGGAGTACTGGACGGCTGTTCCGTCGTAGTTTGCAACTCATTGACAGTACGCACTCACCACTACTGGGGTTCGAACCGAAGGCCATCCTGTCAGAAGTTAAGCTCGTAGCTCATTCAGCTGGTGGGACTTCACTCAGTGACCAGTCTATGAATTCTAAATTCTACCATTTCATGAATTTAGCGCTTCCAACAACCAATGTCATGGCTGGTGAGTATTCATCCTCACTGCTGACCAGATGGATCACCCCATTGGCCACAACATTTCACTAAAAATAATTTAAATATCCCTCCTCTACATATTCAGAACAAGACTAATTCAAGCAGACAAGTGTGGTTCCAACAATTTCCTCTTTTCTAGACTTTACAGTTATAAATCTATAAAAGTTAGAATACAAAAGCACCAGTAAACGCAAGTCAGTATTATCTCAGAAACTGTTTTGGGTTTCATTAAGAATACCCGATAAATATGTAAAGAAACAATAAAGTGACCGTGCACTTCGGTCCAATCAATCGATGGGAAAATCTAAAATTCAATTCAATAATTAATATGACCCGTTGCACAAGAGACGGCTAAGTGGCCTAAGTGGTCTAGTGGATAACGCTTTGACGTTTGAAACTATGGGCAATGGGTTCGAGCCTCAGTGGGAACATTATCACTCACTAGGGAATGCAGGTACATCCAGATGACGGGTCCCAAATAAGACAGGAGAAATGCGCATCCTGGATTCCACTGCTAGTCACTATCCACCAATTAAATTCTAATTAAGTGAGTTGTTTGCAATATTTGTAATAATGCTCGCTAGTGACTTGCTACAGGATGGAGTTTCCTGGAGTCAGATCTCGTGAGAAGTCGTGACCAGTAAGATCCATCCAGTAAAGTGTGCGGATAGATTTCCTATGGATGATATCGGCTGGTGGTTACACTAAATCACGAGTTGGTAGAAGTTATAATTCATGAACTGGGGATTGAGTCGGGTCCGAGTGGGTGAATGGTATACGAACCAGCTTGCCTTGTAACCGGAAGGTCCTGGGTTCGAACCTCCTATGGTGGGTGCGCACTGTCGATGATTCGCAAAAACTGGATGAAACAGCTGTCTGGTAGTACTACTTGTTGGTTTTCAATGGTTCTCTGACTGATATCAATCCGTGATCAACTTGTAAAAATATTTATAATCAACAAAAATATAAGTTTCATGGTGTGAGTCATATTCACTGGTGTGACAGAATATATAAATACTAACTTTAGGTATTTTATTCGGTGTGCTACATACCGAATACTCCAATCCACAAAAGGCATAGCAGTCTGCTTAAGGAAGTCGGAACCTTCTGAGAGTAAACACTACTTATACCCAGGGCAGTCTAAGATTCTCAACCGCTGCATCACTTCATGCCATTTAGGTATGACTTTCCATCCTCAGTGTTCGGATCTACTCCTATCCTTTATTTATTATCTTACTTGTACAAACAAAACTTTTGCTTTCTTAATTTACCTTTTTGCTTTAAAATCAGGCTGAACGAAGAATATGTTTCTCAATAAATTCTCTTCAGGCACTCACAGCCATAAAGTAAAATATACTTATCATGACAACAGAAAACCATTTATGTGGTGGATGCATGTTCATGTAGAATAACAGATTAGCAACCGGCTTAGTAGTTCTAGTGGGAAGTCGTGACCAGTAGGGTGAAGAAGGTCGAAGGTAAGGATAATTACTCGCGGAAGGAAATATTGGCCAGCGGTTGTGTTATTTCATGGACTGGCAATTGGATCGGGTCCCAATGGCTTATGAACTATCTCGCTGGGGTTGTAACCAGAAGGTCATGGGTTCGAACCCTGGTGAGGGATGAGTCTTCAACTAGGACGAAACAGAGTCCAGTACTGACCAGTAGTTTCTGTTGGTTTTCCAATAGTTCTCTAACTGATGTCAGCGCATGATCAAATCATTTAACCAATCAGTCAAATCCCTTCAAACCAATGCTTGAATAACAAATTAGTTACAGGGTGACAGAATAAGTAGCATTTGTTTGACAGAAGGTGCTAGAAAATATTGAGAAATGTGAGTGGATAAAGATGGTGATTGGTCATAATAGTTTCACGCACTGTACTTAGGCTGAAGAAAATTGACAAATGAGTTCATGGTTGTAAAAAGTGTCAAATGAGTGGCTAGTCAAAAATAATGCGCAGTGAATTCAGTTCATCATGAAATAAATTAGGGAGGAAATTGACAAATCAGAATAGAACAAAATAGTTGTGGTTTCAATAAAATTCTTCCTTCTTCAGGCTCTACAATTATAAATCCATTAATTTAATCTTAGCACACAATAGCCAGCCAGCCAGCCAGTAAAGGTAAATTAGAGTCATATGAGAAAGTGTATTGTGGAACAAGTATAAGTAAGATGGGATGGAACAATAGTCAGTTAGTTTTTAATATGATGCATGGTCAATGAGAACATGGGACAAAATGAGATGAAGTAATTTAATTACATGTGTGTGTGTGTGAATATACATAAATATAGTCAAAAAATACAGATTTCAATACCTAGAGACAGGGTAAAGGTGGATACCGTAGACAAGAAACCTTTTTACCTTAAGTTAACTTATAAAGGGGAAATCGCAGCTGACATTCTAAGATGTTAACTTAATAGAGCAGTAGACAGAACATACCGTGCTGCTAAACTGGTACTCAGCTTCGCAACTAAACCATTATTCACACAATGAGTCAAGGATAAATTACCAAAGATGGCTTCATCAACGTGTATCTATGAATTCAACTGCTTATGTGGAGTTAGTTAGATTGGCCATACTCAGAGAAGTTTATCCCTGTGTGTGCGTGAATAGGTACCTGTATGGTTGAGTAAAGGGTTAACCAAATGCGTGAATAGTCCAACCTTAGCCTACTTAGTAGATACTGGACACTCGATAAAACTTGATCAGGCGTTCTCAGTTATTTACTGAATTCCTGGTAATCTTTCTAGAGGAGCTCGACAACGTCTTCTATCGGTAGCTGAAGCGGTTGCAATTAGTGCCAGAAGACCAACTGTTTGTATACAGAAGAAGTATGTCAACCTCAATGTTTACCTTGGCCTAGAATAAAGCCAACAAATCTTGCAGAAAAGCATTAACACTAGAAATTCCTATCACAATTTTCTTTTCTCCTTCTTCTATTCCTCTGTTTCATTGACAAACGTTCATTTTCAACTTTTTATGGTTTGATGACTTTTTTTTATTATTTCTATTACCTTGGGTTTAAGTGGTGTTTTCTAACTTGTTATAGTATTTTCAAGTATTGGTTTTGTAGGGATTTTGGGACTCTTCAGCAGTACGCACCCACCGGGATTCGAACCCAAACTAGGACGAAACAGCTGTTCAGTACTCCCAGGTTTTCCAGTGGTTCTCTAACTCATGTCAGCTCATGATTAAATCCTCCATCCAATCAAACAAAATCCCTACAAAACCAATACTTGAAAATTAATCTTATGTTCAATAGTGACCAGCCCTATTCAGGCCGTTAACCTGGGGTTCTAGTGGGAAGCCGTGACCAGTAGGGTACAGCAGGTTAAGGACGAGGCAGTAATTCATCGAAGAAGACATTGCGAAGTGGTCGCGCTATGTCGTGAACTGGCAGAAGTTAGAATTCAAGGACCATTGGATCGGGCCCAGTGGTTCAATTGGCCTACGAGCTCGCCTTGTAACCAGAAGGTCCTGGGTTCGAATCCAGGTGGTTGCGTACTGTTGTTATAGTATTAACAAAATCCTGTTTATTCCGCTTCATTATATTCATTATTATCATTATTTGACAATCATTCACCAATAGTAGTTGTAATTTTACACCATATCATCGTTATTATTTTACATTCATTCAATCAACCTTGAACTTATGTCTAGACCGCCCCATTCGTTCGATTATTTTCATATTGTCTCACACATCCTGATTACACTCACTCTTGAAATCTGTATTTTTTGACTACATTTATGTATATTCACACACACACACACACACACACATGTAATTAAATTACTTCATCTCATTTTGTCCCATGTTCTCATTGACCATGCATCATATTAAAAACTAACTGACTATTGTTCCATCCCATCTTACTTATACTTGTTCCACAATACACTTTCTCATATGACTCTAATTTACCTTTACTGGCTGGCTGGCTGGCTATTGTGTGCTAAGATTAAATTAATGGATTTATAATTGTAGAGCCTGAAGAAGATGGATTTATTGAAACGACGATTATTCGCTCTAACTATTTTGTTCTGAATAAATTTTTTGAATATTCAGTCTACTGAAATCAGAATAGTTGAAATGGAAAATTCGGCAATAAAATAAGAACGCCAGAATGGAAGACATGCCTTGTATATCATTGTGACTAAAATCGTTAGGACAAACAGAATAAGAAAAAGGAAGAGAAATAAGAGGAGACGACACCCTTGAAAGGGAAAAGAAATATGCAACTCAAGATTGTCCACGATAGGAACAACTCCTGAACATGTTCTTTGTGAACACAAAGTTCAGTGTTTAATTGATCTGATCGTAACAGTTTCAACACTATATGTCGAAGATATAAGTGAACTGTGAATAATAAAGACTACAAAGGTTATCTTAGCGTCAACACGATGTCCTGTATCTATCAGATGTGACAGAATTGGTTAATCCCTCTTACACATTGATACACCCATGCAACCTTTTATTCAGTTTACTCTCCCTGTGTTCGATGTTGTCATTCAATTATATAAAGTTCATAACGGGAATAAATACAGTTTAATGTGAGCACAAATCATGAGCATTCACCACTATTTATATAAATGTTTCGAACTGTAGACAATCGATAGTCAACAATTCAGAGGAGAAATACTCCTGCGGAGATTTTATCGCAGCGTTCAACCAGGGTGAAAAAGAAAACTTTCTACTCTGCACGTCTGTCTCTATCTTTCAGTAGCCGTCCAATGTTCACCCAATAACTCAAAGATGTCTCACCTAACCTTAGGTCTTCTTCATGCATATATCATTTCAACTGTTCCTGTGGTTCAAGTTATATAGGGAGCATGATTAGGCAGGTTCATCTACGGGACCGAGAACATTTACTAGCTTGGTTCAGCAGGGGGAGAGAGGGGAAATTAAGTGCATAAAAAGCTTGATCCTGTCACACTTGGTCGATACTGGACATAGCATCGATGTCAACACAGCTTTCAGGGTTATATACCGAATTTCAAAGTTGTTATCACGTACAGTTCGCTCATGTCTGCTACACATAGCTGAAGCTGTTGCAATAAGATCGACTAGACTGGAACTTTGTTTCTAAAAAAGAGAACACGTCCAGACGCTGTTCCTACCGTATCCAAACTTGGATTGATGATTCTTTTCCTCACCAAGAGTGCTCCTTCCCCTTAATCCTCTTGGTTTTTTTCTTTCTTTGCTTATTATTACAGTTATTATTATTCGTCGTAATTTATGCCCTTCATTCAAACATTCTCTCAACACTATCGAATTTTCCATTTATACTCTCCGGACTTATTATTGGTGATATTATCTCTTTTCTCAATAGATATGCTTCCACCTGTTTCATTTCACACATTCGTTATTTCATTATGAACCACTCATTGCAGTCTTACTATCTCCTGTTTAACACAGACCACTTTGTACTAGCCACTCACCTGACACCTTGCATAACCTTGAACTGGCTTGTCGATTTCCCTTCACTACACTCTACAAATCTATTGTGATTAATCACCACCATTGTCTCCTATTTTACAATATTTTTGTCACAAGAAAAAATACTACTTATTTTGACACCCATAAGTAATCTGTTCATTCTACTTTGAAAAAACGTATCTTCAGCAAATTTCTAAAAAATACTATAATCTAAATACTACTGCTACTGATAATTATTTATTTACTTTTACAGGTGAATCTCGTCGATTCAATCAAGTTTGTGTTGGTACAACAAGTGAAATGCCATTACGTATCACAGAAACAGATATTTATAATTTAGTCGCAACAGTTCGTAGTCCATCTGGTCTAGAACAACCATCTACACTGAAGAGATTGCCGAATGGACATTTAGGTAAGTTTAGGTAATTATTGTCTTATTCTAATTACGTTAATAAACCTGCGCCAAAATATACAAATAGAGCTTGAAATATCCCGTAGATGGATATGGGGCATCCTAAAGTGTAACATGGTGAAGATGATGTGAAGTAGAGAAGATGGAAGTTCGTGGGTAGTGGGAAAGCAAGCTGAAAGTGAAGGTGGATAAGCAGATGCAGTGGAGATGCTCCACGGGGTGCGTTGTGTTCTATATAGAACTCAAGGAATGAACAATAATTACTGAGGCCAGCTGCACATAACAATGTACAGTAAACAGCTTCACACTTTGTTAAAAAATAAATAAAGTTGTGAACACTCTACTACGATAGAGAAGATTTGTAGCTCAGGTGGATGATTCTGATTTGGTTGTGTTCCCTGAGCTGGATAGTTGATTTGCAAAGCTTCCATCGCCCTACTAGGCGACATCTTCAGCGAATACTTCAATTCGAGGAAGTGAGCTTTTCGATTTCTCTACGAGTTTATTAATCATCTCTCCTGATGGCCTTGGACGTGATAGGTTGTTTTTGTGTTTTTTCACATCTTCTAGGTTACTTGAATTGGAACTGATTGTTTTTTTTTACTTGAACTTTGACCCTCTGTGTGGGAGGTTTCTTTCTTATAGGTTGATAAATTTTCTCTATCTCGATGTGTCTATTGATTGATGATTCACTGGAATATTAGGCAGCCTTCTAAAAATTCTCTAGCATTCTTGGTGTTTCCCCTATCGAATATTTGAACAGTGGTTGTCCAAGTCGAATTGATGTCCGTGGTTGTCTGTATGTAGCGATAAGAGGGAGTGGGTGTCGTGTCTTTTGGCGACTAGCTTATGTTCGTGGATACAAAGACGAAGGGGACGTCCGATTTGGCCAATGTAGTGCTTTTCTCAGTTGTTACAATTTATTTTGTAGATGATGTTGGTTTCATCTTCTTTTGCTGTTGAGTCTTTTGGTTGACATAGAACTGAGTGAAGTGATTTTAGAATTTTCATCATGAGCTGAGATTAGTTAGAGAACCATTGGAAAACCAACTGGGAGTACTGGACGGAGTTTTCATCATAGTTTAGGACTTTTCGGTGGTACAAACCCACTGGAGGACCTTCTGGTTACAAGCCCAGCGAGCTAGCTCGTAGACCATTAAGCCACTGGGGCCAAATCCAATGGCCCGCGAATCCTAACTTCTGCCAATTCACAACACAGTGCTACCCCTAGCCAATGTCTTCGGCGAGTATTTGTCCTCACACCCGACGTGCCGCACCCTACTGGCCACGACTTCCCACAAGAATACCAGATAACTACCTACCTGAATAGGGCCAGTCACCAGTGAGCACCTCATTAATATTCCAGTACTCCCAGGTTTTCTAATGGTTCTCTAACTAATTTCAGCTCATGATGAAAATCCTGTAACCAATCAAATCCCTGCAAACCAACACTTGAAGTGATTTTGTTGTTTTGTGTACGACGTCAATTCCTAAAGGTGTTTGAAAAGTCTTGCAGTGATTTATGAGATATCCTTTATATATGATAAGGCGATTTTGTTTGTGCTTTCCTTGGGGCTATTGGTTTGATAGGTTGGCTTGTGGGTATACGTTTTTTGATGAAATTCCGTAGATATCCATTCTTTTAGAAGACATCCATGAGATATAACAACCGATCACTTCCAAGGTGGTCACCACCAGGAGGGATGATTAATAAACTCGTGGAGAAATATAAAAGCTCACTTCAATAAATTGAAGTATTGGCTGAAGATGTCGCCCAGTAGGGCGGGTAATGAAAGCTTCGCAAATTAACTATCCAGCTCAGAGAACACAACTACATCAAAAACTAAATTATAGTGTTAAAGTATCATTGTCAAAATGAGCAAAGAATTACTATCGATCTCAGCTTCATCGACTCTGAAAAGGTCTTTGATAGGATTGACCGTGGGATAATTTTGGAACTGTTTTAGCCCTATGGAGTGCCCTAAACCTTAAACAACCTTATTCAGAAGATATATGATGCCAATTGATTCACAACAAGACTTCCTACTATTACCGATGGTCTTCCTCGCTGTAGTGGAGGAGAGTGAGAGGATGGGTACACGGTGGACTTAAGAAAGGACCCTAGAAGATATGAACTCCATCTATGATTGATGCCTCAGAAGTCTGAAGACAGGACTTCAGATAAACATCAAGAAGATAGACGACAGTAACAGGCATCAGCCACCATCAATGCGGAAAATGTGATGGAAGTTACTTCTTTCACTGTCCTTATCAGTACTGCTTGAGCTACAAGCTTCAAGGATGAGGACGTTGAAGGTAGGATAAGAAAACTGAGACAGGTGTTTATTACTGTGTAATCGGAGTTCTCAGAAACTGAGAAAACAGCTGTAAAAAAACAGCAACAGAAAATACAGCTCAGATTCTGTTCATTTACCTGACATATTTTAGGAGAATTGTATGTTTCTTGTTATTATTTATTAATATTACTATTTCCTTTAATTCCTAGAGGAACATAGAGCTTCAGCCGCACGTCCTTATTGCGTTCGGTTCTCTGCTAGAGTTTTCACCTGGCTCCAAGTCTGCCCACATGCTTTCATCTCCTCTTCACATGACCTCCTCCATGCCATTCTCTCACTGATGACCAGCTCACCACTTCCCTTTCGGGTTCCACTCAAGCGATGGCTTGTCTAGTGATGTCACTTGATCTTTTTTCCTCAGATTATGGCCCGCCCAACTCCATTTCTTCCTGCTTATTTGTTGCACAATAGGCTCCTGGTTGGTTCGCTCACTGCCAGAGATTCCTGTTGCTGATCTGTTTCTGGTGTTTCTTGTTAGCAATCAGATATCTGCATCAAATTTTTAATATACGAAGCCATACGTCTGAGAGTGGCTAGTTATATTAACTAGTTTCTCAAGTTAAGGTCGATAGATTGGAATTCAAACGCCAAAATCTATTAGCTTAAGGTTGATCACCGAAGCCAATGACTTGAATCGACACTCTAGTTCACCTATTTGATGTTAGTTGCTAACATATAAGTCAAATTCTAATGCTCACTAGCGACTAGCCCTTTTCAGGTAGGTAGGTAGGTAGTTGCCTGGTGTTCTAGTGGGAAGTCTTGACCAGTAGGGTAAAGAAGGTCGAAGGTAGGAGCAGTTACTCGCCGAAGAAGACATTGCGAAGTGGTTATGTTATGTCGTGAATTGGTAGGAGTTAGAATTTATGAACTTGCCATTGGATAGAGTCCCAGTAACGTAATGGTCTATGAGCTAGCTCGCCTTGTAACTAGACGGTCGTGGGTTCGAACCCTGGTGGTAGATGGGCACTGTGGAGAGCTCCAAACTAGAACGAAATAGCTGTCCAGTATTCCCAGCTTTTCCAGTGGTTTTTCTCTAGCTGATGTCAGCTCATGATGAAATCCTCCATTCAATCAAACAAAATCTCCTATAAAACCAATACTTGAAAAACACTTCAACATGGTTTCCAATGGAAATAGTAAAATATTCTGGTAACATTATGTAACCCACTTGATATTGTAAATACCAATTAAGAAAAATAAGCATAATAGAGAGATGATTGACATGAACAAATGGAAGCCATCCTGTGTGTGAGTTAATTGTTCATCATGCATAAATAGTAAATATATACTATTGGTTGGTATTTAGTTCATTTTTGCTAAATTAAGGTATAGTGAAATTTTAGACAATCATGCCTAATGTGAATGAACACTCCTACTAAGTGCATTAAGAAATAATCTCAGGAAATATCGGCAAAGACAATCAAGCAAAGAAAATTCTCTTTCTTACAGGATTTCATCATGAGCTGACGTTGGTTAGAGAACCACTGGAAAACCTGGGAGTACTGGAAAGCTGTTTCCTCTGTCCGACTTTGGGACTCTTCATCAGTACGCACCAACCACACGGGTTCGAACACAGGACCTTCTGGTTACAAGCCCAGCGAGCTAGCTCGTAGACCATTAAGTCACTGGGACCCGATCCAATGGCCAGTCCATGATTTCTAACTTCTGCCAATTCATGACATAGCGCTACCCCTAGCCAATGTCTTCGGCGAGTATTTGTCCTCACACCCGACGTGCCGCACCCTACTGGCCACGACTTCCCACAAGAATACCACATAACTACCTACCTGAATTGGAACGGTCGCCAATGAGCATCTCATTAATTTTCAAGTATTGGTTTGTCCTGGAAAATTCTTTTTATTGATAAAGTCATCTTCAAAGTCACTGTACAACTAGCTGTATTCATATTTGCTAAAAAATAGATATGTGGTCTATTATTGAGTAATAGGGGGATGCGTGACTCAAAAGTAGTTTTTGAAGACAATAAATTGCGTAATCAATTATTTTTAAAGGTATTTGATTTGTTTCCGGTTTGATCATGGATTGTTATTAGTAAGAGAACCATCCTCGGTTCGAACCCTAGCAGTCGGTGCGTACTGTCAATGAATTGCAAACTACGATGGAAAAGCTGTCCAGTACTCATTGTTGGTTTTCAATAGTTCTCCAAGTGATATCAATTAACACAGCCTGCTTCAAGAAACCAATCTCACAGACTTCTTCACTTCGAAAGCATTGTTTGCTCTAATTAATTCCAAGAATAACTGAGCGAATTCTTGATTGGTTGTCAGAATAATTGGGCCGGTGGCGCAGCAGTCGGATGTCTACCAATCACACTTGCTGTCCGGGGTTCAATCTCCGGCCACCGACGCAATCCTTTGCCTCTCCAGATGGGTATTAAGACCAGTAAAAAGTGGGAGGTTGGGCATAAGGCTAGCAACTCCAACCCGTAAATCGTATCCAGCTGACGAGTTCTAAACTTGGTAGAAGTGTGCACATTCTGGATTGAATTGCTTGTCACTATCAACCAAAATAACATCAAGATAATCCCTGGACATCATGTAGACTTCCGTACTAGGAGCTGACACATCAGTAACGGATAATAATAGAGTATTTCGACGCAACACTATCAACTGACGAGAAACT